CCAAAAACTACATCTACCCATCTATCCCCTAGAACACTCCTGCTGGGAAGGGATCGTGCCACATGAAGGTTGAAGCTGAGCAAGAGAGCAGATAAAAGCCTCTGGTACCTTGGCACTGAGGGCTTTGCCCATCACTCAAGATACTCTACACAAACTACCTGCAGATCTTTCCCATCCACAAGGAATTCTGCAGTATTGTCTCTTTTCCACTACACGCTGAGAGATGCTGAACTCTTCCTCCTTACCTGGCTGTCACTCCAGCAGGAGATGAAACATTCATTTTAAAGGAGGCAGTGAGATGGAAAGAGCTGCCAAGCACAGCTAGGCACAGACATGGCTGTGTTCTCCCTATGGTGCACTCTGTTTTCCTATCAAGAACTTCTTTATCTGCCTGATTACCCAGGTCTGCTCCCTGGCCTGTTATACCTGTATCACACGTCTGCTTCTGCATCATTCTGCTCCAGGTCTTGCAGCCAGATACATGGTCTAGTGCTGTGTCTCACAGACCTCTGAGCTCAAGCCCCGGTCTGTGCACTGTTCCTTGGACTGTATAACCCCTGTCTCATTGTGGGCTGGCTGCAAGCAAGAAGCTAGAAGAGAATATAAGTTCGAACAAGTCAAAGCCCAAATCTAATCACAGCAGACAAAGCCCAAGTGGGAACATCTCACCTGAACCAGGCATGGGGCACTTGTCACAGTTCTTCCCCCAGCCCTTGCCAACACGGCTGCAGCAGCAGATCTGCTGGGTGATTCGATGGGAGAGGGGGAAGGAGCACACACCTCCGGCCACTGAGCGGTAACACAGTCCCTGCTCCATGGACACTGCCTTGTCCGCTGAAACACAATGGTAGGGTCAGCCTGGCATCCAGCTCTACACTGACCCAGGAGAGAAAGGATGTTCAGCCTCTCCACCTCAGTCCTCTCTTTGTGCTCTCCAACCTAAGAATTGCCCCATCCTCATCCCAGAAAACACTCCAGGCCAGCACTCAACAGGCCATTATCCCCGCCTGTGTCAGTTCTAAGTAAATTCATCTCCTATGGGAGCTCTGTCAAACAGGGAGGCTGCTCTCCTCTGCTACTGCACTGGGTTCTGCAGTGAACAGGAACAGAAGACCATGAGAGGCTTATGGATAACAGCCCTGGCTGAAAAGGGCCCTAGGTATCCATGCATAAAAGCACAAGACATCTACAGGCATGCAGTGTCTCCCCCTGCACCCAGACCCCCTTGCAAGAGGCATGAGGTAAACTGCAGCCCGCTTAACTCTTGGTCTGTGAGGTCCTCCTCACAGACACATTCTGTGACACCTGGAGGGCCTTGGGCAACTGCCCCTTCCCAGCCTGTGGGGAGTTGTCTGGAGCACTTACAGATACAGTGGCTGCGGGATGGGTCCAGCATGGTGCCAGGTTTGCAGGTGCAGCGGAAGCTACCACGGGTGTTCACACACTCAGCATCCTTGCACAACCCCTGTATCAGGCATTCATTGATATCTGTGTGGAAGAGAAAGACTGACTTAGCCAAGAGACCTTGACCTTGGTGCCTAGTTAGGGCCTAGGAGCCCTTGCTGGGTGTGAGAAGGGCTGTGAGATAGACAAGAGCCTTATTTTCTCCCCTATTGCTCACCAGCCTCCAAAGCCTGGATGTTGCCTGCAGGTTGATCACACTGAATCAGTTCACTGTTCTCTCGATGCCTCCTACCCTTCTACAGGCTAAGAGTGAATCCAAGCAGCAGAAGGTTGATGCTATCCCTCACCTCCCAGATGAGCTGGTCTTAGTGCAATCAGAAAACAGTGGTGTAGAAGGCAGCAGTCGCTCGCCTTGTGTGCCAAGGTGCTCCTACAGAGAGGTTAGGAATCTTCTTTGTCATGGCATTAGGGACAGCTAAGCCAGAGCTCCTCAAGAGCTTTCAGGAAGGGTTAAGTGAGATGAGTGTCCCGAGCAAGCACTGGCAGAGGCTCTGGCTTAGTCACAGCTCTTGGAAGATGGATGAGGTAGGGAATCTGGGAACTGGCATGATGCTCTGATCAGCCGGGACATTTCAGCCTTATATCCACACCACTTGGCTGTCTCATGCCACAAAGTCTTGTTTCCCAGGTCCCTTGGATAAGCTCTCTATAGTCTGTCTGGCTGTAGGCATACGGTCCTCTCTGTCACTGCCTGAAGTTCCACTTGCTCTTTAGTCTCTGGGGCTTGCTGTGATACAATTGCCTTTCTCAAATGGGAAGGAATTATCATTCTTACTGTTTACCCTTAGCTCTGTGCTGTCAGATCAGGTGATGTTGATGCTACTTTGTCATTGCCCCTGACTTCAGGTCCCCTTAGCCCAGAGCCTCCCATCAGATACCCAGGCTCAGAACCAGGTCTCAGACACGCAGGTGTCCTAGGCAGCCTCTGAACTGAGCACTGAACTGGTGGGAACCTCTGTGGTGACAGCAGTCCCACATCTGCTGCACAGCTTGCTGCAGCTGCAGAGATGGATATCAAATGAGCACTCTGCTCAGAATCCTCATGGAAAACAGATGTGGTGCCTCTAATGAGCCACCCTGCTAAGATTGCTTTTACAGCCCTCAATTTTGTGTTTGTGAGCCTTGATTGTCAGGGAAGTCTTCTCCTCTAACTCAGCCCTTGGTCCTGCTAGTCTGGAGCCAGGTGTCACAGAGGATCTTTGCTGAGAAATATAGTGACATCCCACAGAGAGTGACTGATTCTCACACAGTGACCAAGTGCCAAGCCAAATTACAGGGAGACAATCTCCAGCTTGTCACTGTAGCGAACAGGTTGCCTAAGCAAAAAAGTCACCTAAGTTCAAGCACTGTCTCTGTCACTGACTTAGCATGCAACATAAGACAAAGTCCTTGGGAAGGGAGCCTTTTGGAGCTGGAGCATCACTGCTTGCTGAAAGTGGGGCTATCACACAGCCGGCCACAACAGCCAGAGCTTTGACTTAATGATCTGAGAGGTCCCCTCCGGTCCTGTGCTCTCGAAATCCTTCTTTCATCCCACCAGCAGCTCCATATATGGTCTGTAAGGATCAGGCCATGATTGATCAATTGAAAGTACTGATGCTACAGGGGTGCACAGCAGTCTACAGGGTAACAGGATTTGCTGTGCTGACCTAGTGATGGCCCTTCTCTAGTTTCTGTTGCAAATGTTTCAGCACATGATGGAGACCAATTTAATCCCAAGCTCCTCCTATCATGGTGGCAGAGTCAGTCCCTTGCATGCCTGACCATCCTAGAGCCAAGAAAGGACAGCTCCCAAGCTCTCTCTAGACAGGCAGGTGTCAGTGAGTCCCAAACAGAAACCTCCTCTCCACAGAACAGAATTAGTGGCCTCAGAGCTGATAGATAGCAAAGTTCAATGCAAAGAGGAGCAATCAACAAAAATTTTCTGTGCTGGATGATACGAAAATCCTGTGCATAGCTGTGCCATTTGCCTATCCCTCTCTTCATGCTCTGGGAAGACAGGGTGGCTGTTAACAGCACTGTGACAAGCACTAGTCTCCTGCCTTGTGCCAAGTATAGGACTGAGTTCATGAGAAGCAGCATCAGCAACCAAATGTGCTAGGAACCTCACTCAGAGAGAGTTTGAGATCTCCAGAATAGCCTCGAGGGGCATCCGTGTCACTCTCTGGCACTACTTGAATGTCTTGTCATTCTGACACACCAAATGGATGAGGTGTTTGGTCTATGTATAAGCAAAGGGATTGAAGGGATTAGAGTAATGAGAGTGCAAGACAAACAAGCACCAAGGGCTCGGCTTTGTGCATTTAATTTAAAACAGGGCCGCATCCTGGCCCTACTCCAAGCCCCTCTTTTCCACTGGCAGTCAAAGACTTACCCACAGTGGAAACCGAGGGGAACAGAAGCAGGCAGGCAAGCTCCGCACCACGCGCTCCTAATCCCTGCGGCATGCCAGACACCCGCAGGAAGAAGCAAAGGGGCCTGTAAATCGCTAACATAACCAAAAGGTGTCTCATCTGCTTCTTCCTGCATCGACCCATTGTATCAACCCACTTCCTGCATCAAACCACTGGTGCTCCACAGAAACATCCATGCTGGAACAGGCAGCCTGCAGCATAAAGGTGCAGGTTGGTTTATGCTGGTCTGTGATGAGCAAACAGGACCTTAGTTAGCAACAGACACAATAATATATGGACATCAAGTGAATGTCCAGTGCAGTGACCACAGGATATTCTAGACCTCCCTAACATAATCTCCAGCTCACCCAGCCAGCAGTCCCCAAAACAACTTCTGTCTTATGCATTGCAAGCTCATTATTCCTTCCAGTAGCATCCTCCTTGCTGGTCTAGGCAGCACCGAGAGACTCCTTGGCTGGTGAGAGGACACCCTGTGCTATTCACTTTAGCAGCCATAGTTCTGAATCCTCCAAGCTGTTGTTAATCAGAGACAATCAGCAGTCACTGAACATGCTACGGCTCTCAGGCCTCTGCTGCTGGTGCAGGAGGATCTGTGTTGTGTGGCTGAGCTCCCTTTTAGGAAATGAGTCTGGAGAATGTCTCCCGGAATCTGTATGGACTGTGGAAACTGAAACCCACCCTGTACTGGATATTCCTGACACTCTCAACTCAGATTCACTACAGCTTGTTCCTGCTTGATGGGATGCAGTAAGCTAAGGAAAGGAGTTCCTATAGAAGGAGTATTTGTTCCTCTGCGGAAAGGCACCAGAGACAACCCTTCCTGTCCAGGAACAATGTGAGATGGGTTTTTGCCTGGGTCTTCCTCTAGTCACTCGTCAATGCTCTAATGAGAGCCTGAAAAACCAGAGATCAGTAAAATGGTCATTCAGCTCCTTCTCAGCTCAGCATTTCTCCTACGGCCAATGGTCTCAGGAACCATCGAGTCTCATCAGCTTCTGCTCTCCTCCTAGCTGGGCAGGGAAGACGGACATTTGCAGCCTCTTTCTCCGTCTCATCAGCCAAATTGCTCACTCTAAACCTTGAGGTTCTGGGCTTCCTTACATGCATCCCACAGCCACAGCAAAGATCAGGAATGTACCTAGAGGCTGCAGATACTATCTCCCGAAAAGTATCTCTCTACCCTGGCTTACAAAGGAACCTGCGGAAGTGCATAACTCTGCTTCATGATTTTCCCTGTGCAAAAATATCTTTCTAGACAACTCCATATCGCCATGTCCCTCTGTTTCTCAGCCTCACCCTGCTCCAGAGAGAATGCCAACCCTGAGCAGGCACCATATGTCTCTGCTCACTGACACCAGTCACTCATGCTGCTCTGCTCCTCTGGCTCCAGTTTAGCATCTTCAAGTAGCTCCTCCAATCCACAGCAGCCAATGGCTGCAGAAGGATTGAGATCTAAGCACCACAGGGAATAGAAGCCATTATGTTATTGAAAATTCTCCCCCAGGAAAATGGGGATAGACTGAATCAGTAATTCAGCAAGCATGGTGGAAAGTCCCAGCTAAAAATGAGTCATTCGATTGCCAGCCCTGGGTTTGCATGGCGAGGGCCCAAGCTCCCTGCTGCAACATCTATATGACACCTCTTAGCTTATCGTGAATCACAAAAATGGAACCATAAAATTCCATTTCAGTCAGAACACAGAAAACACAAAGACTGTGAGCCAAAGACACCAAATAATTATGAACAGGGGAAAAGTACAGGATGATGCCTTCCTCATATGGAGCTGAGGGACTGTGGGGGTGAGAATGTATAGACCCCAGCAGTGTGCAGCAGGCAAGCAGAGCCTGGCAGCATATTCAAGTTATGAACTCAGAACAGAAGGATTCACTTTTATGGCACTCTCCCATTTAGAAAAAAGAGATACATGAACCAGCAGAAAATCTTCTGAAACTTTTCAGGCGACAAATCTTCTGTTACTTCAGACTACAGGAGAAGTGCTTTTACACATACACTTAACACAGCAGCAATGTATATCCTTACCGTGTATGTACAGCAGGCAACTGAAGTCAAAATTAAGAATGTCAGTAGTATTTATCAGGTAAGATTCCTTGTGTTGGCCTAGTTGTGAGCTGACTATGTTTATGAGCTGAGTCATGCAGCCCAGTGTTACTTGTTTTTTTTCACGCTTGATGGAAGCACAGGGATTTTTATCTTTGTAGATCTGTATCAGGGAAGTTAGATAACTGTTTTACTTGTGTGGATAATTATTACTCTTTCTAAGGATGTGGGAAGGCGACAAAGGAAAAAAGATCAGCATCCTTACCTTGACAGTGGCTCCTATTCAGCCTCTTATATCCCTGGGGACACTCCACATGTCCATTCTCTATCACAGGGTGTGCTGGGAAGAAAGCAAACAGTATGGGAAAGAGCAGAGACAACCACTAGGGCTTTATTTTCTTTTCCTCCTTCCTTGCTTCATGCCTACCTTACCAGCTACTGAACATGCGCTCAGTGTTCTGTCCCACTTTTCCCTCTCTTGCCCTATCTTGTCTGCCCATACAAGCCCCCTCCCCGTGCTATGGCTTGTGTGCCTCTTCATTACAGACAGTAGAAAACCCTCGTCATGATCATGCCCTCCATTTTTGTGTTCAACCTCTCTACTACAGGCATTAGAGTGATCACCTCCAAAAAATGCCCTTCGCAGGGGGCCTACAAGCTCTTTCTCCTCTGTAGCAGGACACATTGCTTCCACCTTTGCTCAGCCTCAGCACAAGATCAGCAGCTGGAGTAGCCACACAGGACAAACAAGGCACAGTTCCTACCCACACTAAGAGCACTTGGGCAGGGAGGTAGGCCAGGATGAAGGCCAGGTTGGCCTTCAACAAGTCTGTGGAGATCTCAGGACAGACAGAAAGGCAGGAGAAGTTATGGAGGAAAGGCCTGGATGACAGACACAACCATGAAGACACACTGACACATTTCTCAAGTGTCTTCTGCTACTTTGCAGAGGCCAGATTTGCAATCCAGAGGTGCTGCCTGTGTTTTAATTATCTGTCACTCTAACACCTCAGCTTCCCCCAAGCCAGCCTGTATGGCCAGGTTGCGCACAAAAAGGGGAACCAGAGTGGAAGAAATGACAGAGGTCCTTCACAAGATGCTGAAGTAAGGACCACTTACTACCTTTTCCCTTATTTTACAAGGATCTCTTGGCTCCACATGATTTCCTGCCCCAGTCATTCTCACTAAAGACAATTTCAAATTGTTGCTTTAAATAGTTTTGTGGGTTTCAAAATGACCTGTAACCTGCATAACTAAATTTCTCCAGAATTTTTATAAGCAAGTAAAATGTGTCCAACAAATCGCAGGAATGTCAAATTTAGGCACCATATATTGCAGCAACAGAAAGGGAATTTGGGAGGTTATGGACTGGGAGTGAGTAAGCGTGGGGTGGAGCAGACAGAATGGAAGCCTAAAGATGGGATTTTCCCAGGGTGGGACTTCTTTTTAATGTTCTGGACCATATGTTTGGAAACAAGATGTGAGCGTAACAGCTAAGCAACTGTTCAGCTATATTCCCACCAGTCAAATTCCTCCTGCCTGTCATCAGTAGCTCACACTCTAAGGTCATTAAATGGAAAGCCTTTCATGGCATAAAGTGTATCTGCCTCTAGGATCTGGAAGACTCTTAACATATTGCAGCTTTTAAGATCCAGGGGTAACATCCTTGAGACAGGAGTTGGCCAAAAAGAGCCTACAAAGCAAAACAGCACTGGCAGCAGAAATCAGAGCAGTCCATTACACTGAGCCCACTAACATAGTTCAAAGCCATTCTAGGACACTTCTTGGATGCCAAAAGCTAGGAACCAGCCTCCTAAGAAAAGGTCCCTGGGAAGTAACAGAAATGAGGACTCAGGAAATGAGCTCTTCACCATCCTGTGCCAAGATGGAAAAGAGAAAGCCTAGTTTCCTCAGGCATATTAACTTATGCTACAAGATTCCTTAAATATAGAGATACTCATCTGCTGGAAGAAAGGCTAAGAAGAAAAATCTACTTACTCCCTCACCAGTTCAGTCATGAAGCAGGGTTTGTTTAAAAATATCTGGAAGTTGAGGGAAAAGGGGTACAGCTGGTGATATGATACAGAGAATCACTTACCAGAAACCCAGAGGTCAAGAGCCAGGGCATGGGGTAAATTTCCAACATTCTGGGAAGAGAAAAAACAACCTCTAGCTCATGAGCTCCAGGTCTGGGGCCCCAGTTCCTGGACTCCAAACACCGCAGTCTGTGGGCTAAGGGCTGCCGACAGGCATTAACTGTGCTTGGAAGCATCTGTCAGCCTCAGCACAATGTGATAACAGATGCTCAAATGAAGCAGCATTGCTATATGTGAGTGCTCCGACAGAGAGCCAAGCATGCTGGAGATCAAACAGTGATGACATGTGTCAGAGCCCCGCTCCATCTCCAAACAGTCAGAGAAACAGATCCTGTGCAGCATCCCTTTGCCAGATGCTGCTGGGAAGAGGGCAAGGCAGAGGGTGGAAAATGCTGGGGAGGGGTAAGCGTGCAGGTCTTGTGCCACCTCACCACCCATATGACTCAAGCCTGCAGAAACCTGCAGCTCATTAATGCAGCAAGTTAATCATGAGGCTGGGATGAATGGCGTAATTTTGTAAAGAAACTCACATTCCCTGGAAAGAATAACTGTAATGTAATGTGAGCAGATCTTTCTGTACCAAGGAGAACCAACACAGTTTCTGAAGTACTGGATGGAGGCTGTTCTCTTACTGCCAGGATATAGCCACAAGGGAAGACAGCATGTGCTGTAGGAGGATGTAAACTATTACTCCCAGCTTTGTACTTGGTTACTCAAGCAGAGGACTGTTTCCTTCCGTAAACTCTGATACTACCAAATCACAGCAGAATTTATCCTCTGAAAAAAAAAAGTCTAGAACACCTGAGTCTCCAGCAAAGGGGATAAATATCCCTCCCACTCCACTGCACTAGCAGG